TGCAGTAAAATCCAATGAAAGAAATGGAGAGCTTTAGAGTAGTTAACAATTTTGCTGTATGTCTTTTGTGGAATAAACAAATTTGAAATACCTGAGGTACATTGGGCCTCATTCCTGCGCTTGGCACAAACACTTGTTCATCTGCCATTTTCAAGCCTTTGTCGATGTATGTAAAGCCTCTCTGAAATGCGATCTTATCTATCCGCCTTCCATATTCTTTGGCAGTAATCTGCGCCCCGGACACGGAGTCGAAGGCTATTTCAAGCTTGGCATCGTTACTGTAGGCGATTACTGCTACATGGGTGCCATCTGGACCAACATTGAAGGCACTAATGATATTCTTCAAGAAACCCAACATCAGCGGCCATCTTCGACGACCAATACTTCCCGATGAATCCACGATAAATGCTACATCCGCCGTAGCCTTGCACGCTGACGGAGTTCAATTAAAAAAAAAAGGAAGAATAGCATGACAAAATAGCAAAACAGGAAAAAAAACCTATTGTGTATCATTGTTAAATGACATATGTGCGGTTTGAGTTTACTTACGTGCAGGTGTTGGCAGTGGCGTCGGTGTTGTTAATGGAGGTGGTACTGAAAGAGAAGAAAACGACTTACTCAAGTTGAAACATTTTTCATAACGGGGCTGGAACGACAAGTCAATGAGCTACAATTGTGTTTCGATCAGGATTTACGATGGTGTTAAAGCAGCTTTTACTCATGAGAGTCCGAAAAAGCAGGTTAAAGAATGCCATGAAGACTTACAGTCGCAGAGTCTCTTCCGTATTTCTACCGCAAGGCTATGGAGTTCCTTGAAAGAAGCCGATACAAAGACATTTTCTTGGCTGGATGCAATTTCTCTCAGCTCTGCCTCGTTTGCTCCTGTGCCAACACCAATAGCATAGACTGCTATTCCTTTGCTCTTTACACCTGCAGACGCTATTGCTAGCGGAGTGTATGCTTTTGTTGTTGTTTGTGCTCCATCGGTGATGACTATCAAAACCTGACAGACATAAGTCAAGGAAATATCAATAAAAGGAAATATGTAGAGGTGCTGTAAACAATAGTCTATCACTATCCCATGCCCATATATCAACATATGGAATGCTACACAAGTCATCAATGCAAAAAAAAAATAAAACATATAGCCAAGGAATACTACCAGCCTCGGTTGGAGAAACGTCCTTACCTTTGCAACGTTTGGTCTCATGCTGTTCGAAGGTTTGTACAAGTCATTGTCTGCCAGCAAAAGAGCTTTGTCCGTGTAAGTAAAGCCGCGTTGCCATCGCATACCGTCAAACACATTGTTGACGTCATCTGTCGCTTGGCGGTTGTTAAACCGATACACCACCACGGGATTATTGCTATATGCAACAGCTGATATGTGTGTTGAGGAGGGACTGACGTCAAGTTTGCTGACCAACGCTTTGAGGAATCGCTTCATCCTTCCCCAATTGCTCCGCCCAATGCTTCCAGATGAGTCAATGACAAATCCAATATCTGCGATTGGTCTGCATTCCTTTTCTGTAAAACATTAAAAAACGACGTTGATTACAAGGTAGAGGTGCTTTGAAGCTAAAGAACCTCTGGCTCTTTGCAGGTGTATTTAACAGTTGAAAAACACCCAACTTCGGTTCAGGAGACAAACAGATAACCAAGGTTTCACGACAAGCTCTTTAAAGTGGAG